TCCCGGGGTGGCGGAGGCGGAAGGGGGAAGAGAACAAGCCCTGGCGGGGGAAAGTGGAAGGGAAATGGCCCTGGTGCGCCGGGTGCTTGTCTCCGCCTCCCCCTCTGCTTCCAAAAGCTGGCCGGCTTGTTCTTCCCGGGCCGACGGAGGAGGGGGAAGGTGGAAGGGAAAGGGCCCTGGCACGCCGGGCGCTTGTCTCCGCCTCTCCCTCTGCTTCCAAAAGCCGGCAGCCGTCGGCTTGTTCTTCCCGGGCTGACGGAGGAGGGGGAAGGTGGAAGGGAAAGGGCCCTGGTGGGGCCGGGCACCTGGCTCCCTTCTCCCGCTTCACCTCTTCCTCTTCCTGGGAGGCTCCTTCTGAAGGGCCCGCCGGCCAGCTGGGGGGAAATGCCAGCTGATCGGTGGTTCCAAAATGGCCCCCCCCTGTTTTCTGGACAGACTCCTCACTTACCGAGGCGGTGAAAATGACCGCCCCTATGGAGGATCCTCGCTGAACGGTTAGTGTATTCAGTTCTGTGATATACTGTAAGCCTTAAAAACCCCAAGCTGCCTTTTACATATGAAAGAAGCACTATCCGTATGTGTACATGTGCAACCTAAGTTGTCAAAGTAAAATTCACTGGTACTTGAATGTGAACCTGTTTTAATTCTAGATTTTTGTAAGTGCACACTGCAATTTTAGAAAAGTGTGCTGATGTCAGAAAATACTTATAGGGACCAATTAACGGTGAACATACTTAAGTGTTCAGCTCCAAACATCCATAAATACAGCATTTGAGAACTACATACATAAAACCATCAGATTACACAAAATGCAAGCTTATGAAGAAACTGGCACTCTAGCAAAGTCCAACTAATTTCATTGGGATTCTACTTACAAAACACATTTCAGAATGAAGTCCTTAGTTTTGTGAACAATATAAAATAATAATAGCATGCCATCAAGTCAGTCCTTTTTGGGAGTTTCTACATAGAAAGTACTCAGAAGTGGTTTATTATTCCCTCTTCTGGGAGTGTTCTTGAGACAGTACAGCTTGCCCAAGGCTATTTATTTATTTGATTTACACCCCGCCTATCTGGGCGACTCGTCCACTCTAGGCGGCTACACAGGCTGGTTTTTCTCTTCAGAGGCAAAGTGGGAAATCGAACTCCCAATCTCTGGTTCCACAACCAGGTACCCAATTCAGTGAGGTATACAAACACCCAAACACATTTTAACTTATGATAGTTATTACAGCAGGCCTTTTGAAAATAAAGCTGGGTGCTGGTCCGCAGAATCACATTTTACCTATTCTAAACCATCTAAAGCAGAGATCATCAACCCCTGGTCCATGGACCGGGCCGCGGAGACAGACCTCCCGCCCCATCGCACGCACTCCCCTCCCCACAGCTGCTTTGCGCACACATGCTATGCCAGCGCCGGCGTGTGCACTCCCTCACACCTTCATGCCTGTACCCCCAGGCGCAAAGTAGCTGTGGGGAGGGGAGTGGGTGAGGGTGGGTGGGAGGTCTGTCTTCATGACCGGCAGGGCCGGCAGCAGCATTGGCAGCCTAGGAGTCCAAGCATGGCCGGGGTGCTCCCTCCGGCTGCTCACCCCCTGGCGGGCTCCAACAAGGCCGGGTTGGCACTCCCCGCCACCCTCAGCAGGCCAATGCCGCCACCACTGCTGCCACCAGCACCAGCAGCTGCTCGCTGGGGCAGCCATGTTGGTCCTTGGCGGCCGGGGGGCTCCCTCCGGCTGCTCACCCCCTGGCGGGCTCCAACAAGGCCGGGTTGGCACTCCCCGCCACCCTCAGCAGGCTGCTGCCGCCGCCGCTGCCACCAGCACCAGCAGCTGCTCGCTGGGGCAGCCGTGTTGGTCCTTGGCACTCTTCCCTGCCCTCCACCATTTGAATTTCCCACCGTGGTGAGCGGCGAGGAGCCCCAACCCAGCCTCGTTGGAGCCCGTCGGGAGGCAAGCTGCCGGAGGGAGCACCCCGGCCATGCTCAGATACCCAGTCTTCCGCCACCGGCGCTGGCACGCGGTCCCTCACCCAGAGCCCGTCGGGAGGCAAGCTGCCGGAGGGAGCACCCCGACCATGCTCAGACATCCAGTCTTCCGCCACTGGCGCTGGCACACCATCCCTCACCCATTCAAGCATGCGCCCACACGCAGGGGTGGGGTGGGCACACGGGTGGGCAGGCACTCCTGCGCACGTGCCAAGCGGTGGGGGAACGCGACTCGGGCACCCAGCACTCCTCCAGGAGGAGGCAAGCTGCCGGAGGGAGCACCCCGACCATGCTCAGACATCCAGTCTTCCGCCACTGGCGCTGGCACACCATCCCTCACCCATTCAAGCATGCGCCCACACGCAGGGGTGGGGTGGGCACACGGGTGGGCAGGCACTCCTGCGCACGTGCCAAGCGGTGGGGGAACGCGACTCGGGCACCCAGCACTCCTCCAGGAAGTAAGCATCTGCCCAGCATGTGCCCACACGCAGGGGTGGGGTGGGCATGCAGGTGGGCAGGCACTCCTGTGCACGTGCCAAGTGGTGGGGGAACATGACTCGGGCACCCAGCGCTCCTCCGGGAAGTAAGCATCTGCCCGACGGGCACGCCATGCCACCAGCCAGAGCCACT